GAATCTCTGATGCCATACATTGCAGTGTTAAAAGCTTCATAAAAGCCTGACAAGCAAGGTACAGCACCTCCAGCAGCCTGGGTCAGAAGGCTTCACAACTATTACAGTACACCTTTCTCCTTGGATCTAGACAAGTCTACATTCTCCTTATTTTTAGTTAACTCTAGTCCCAGTCTCCAGTTTAATGGGGAGGGGGAAGAAGAATTAAACTGTTAAACTAGTTCCCCTATATGGCTATCAGAGGGCCACCAAAATGCAGAGGTTGCATGGCCTCAAAATTGCAGTGACTCCTGAGCAGCATTTTCTGGACACAGTCTTCCTTGTATACAGTCACACAGGGCTTGATGCTTGCTCCACACAGGCAATTTTAGAAACACCAATTATCTTCAGACTATAGCACAGCCACAATAGCAGCTTGTTTTAATAAACCTTACCATTGATTTACCAGTTCTGAAGCAAGTTAAGTGTGACCAGCAGCAACACAAGTCATTAGTTAATGACAGCTGAAGACTTAACACCTGCATAGTTATTTTGAGTCTCTATAATCTGGATTAAACCTTTCATCTGCAGTGCCTTTTTCTTTTTAATTCCTGCAGAAAAGCTACCAGCCTCAAGTACCTTGTCACTCTTAAACTGTGGGCACAATGACTCTCATCCATTTTCCTCTCACTACACAGTTTTGGACACTATGATCAGCAGGCTTTCTGGGAATTTAAATGCTTTGTCTAACAAGTCTGCATAAAACATTGCCTTAGTACTGATGATCTCAAGCTACCAAATCTGAAAGCAGAGCCTAAATTACACTTACCTTTGCAGGCTAAACTATTGCATGTTCTTTATTTCTGTCTCAAGTATTTTCTGTGTCTAATTGACAAAAACAACTGCTATGTGCTTGACAAGACATCCAGCACCAAGCTGATTTAAGCGATATTTCAACATTAGCAAGTAATCAATGGACAATTAACTGGAATAAGATAAATATAGCACTATGTTGTCCTTCAATAAACAGCCTTACAGAAGCAGCTGCATTTCAAGAGGCACAATTACTGGCTGTGCACAGATCAATACATGTATTTAGTAACTTTCAGTAAACCTTGATCTAACCTGCCTAGTTGATACTGTTCTCTAGGAAAAAAACCAACCCACACCATTAGAAACGAGAAAAACTCTTACCTTCTCCATGTTTATCTGTAAACTGGAAGGCCTGGACAAGTCTGAGGGTTTCTTCAACAGAACGGCCAACGGGAAGATCATTGATTGTTATCTGCCTCAAGATTCCCTTCTCATCAATGATGAACAGACCCCTTAAAAAACCAACCAAAAACCAGCCCTAAAGTTAAACACAGCTTTTGAAAGACTGATTAGTCTGAAATGAGTTTCAAACACTCAAGTTCAGTACTCTATTATGGCAGGAATTTGTGTCACCTAGTATTACTGACCTATTCCTAAAAACTAATACTAATTTCAGTGAATGCACAGCACTGAAACATTAGCAGTTTAAAGCTTAACATTCAGGAGGAACTAGAAGGGGACAGGAGGCGAGTCAAAACACTAATGCAGGAAAGCAACTGTTCCTATTTAAGAAGATACTAGTGGAAAAACAAAATAGAAGAGAAACCTAAGGAAAAGGGGAATTGAAGAAGAGGCACTCTCACATTCAAATAAAAGCTACATGCATTTTTTTCAAGAAAAAATAGAAACAAGCCAGCAATAGCTCATCACTTAGTCCTCCAAAGTCATTGAGAGTTTGCAGAAGTTCAGCTCCCTCAGCAATTTAAACTCTGATCAGATGACTAAAAGATTAGATAATGGGGTTTAATTAATCTGTCCTTTAGTCACTAGATCAAATACTTTTAATAGTTTTCATGACTATGTAGGTCTTGCATTATCATTGTTCACAGAAGCTCACCCACATGGACTCTTACACTGTGCAGACAGGTACTCAAAGGGAAGCAGCAGATGTTTATCTAACTTACCAAAGCCATGAAAAGTCTAAACACCAAGGAGAACCAAACAGCATCTTCCCTTGCTGGAGTGTTTGATAGCTTAAAGCAGTTTACATCCAGAATAGCTAATAGCTTCAGCTTGCTGCAGGTGTTCAAGTATATGCAAGCTGTGTTTATCTGACATGCTTCAGGTATTGCAACATAAGGCTTTAACAGCAAGTTTACCTTCTTGCATATTACCTGTATGCAATACCTTCATCCTCCTTAAGTACTCCGTATTCTTTGGCAATGGCACGTTTTGTGTCAGAAATCAATGGGATTTTCATAGTACCCAAACCACCTTGTTTCTTTGGAGTGTTGATCCTAAAAAGGAGGAAGTTTAAATGTTAAAAATATGGACAGTTCAAAATAAACTATGAATACAGAAGCTGATTCTTTCTGCAATATCATACTCTGCCACAAGGCAACAAACAAACTGAACAGTAGGCTTAGTTCTGTACAGAAGCACCTGGCACTAACACCACTTCCTAAGTGCCTTTATTTGATACTTCAGTAAGAAAGTTTGAATACGCTCAGGATTCAGTTCTTGCACAACCTGAGACCAGGCAGAACACTCCGAGGTTAAAAGGCTGATTCTTACCAGGCAAGGTGACAGAAGTGAGAGTCAACAGAAGCTCCAATTACTTCACAGTTAATCTTCTTGAATTCATCAGCTCTGTCACTGTATGCAATAATTTCAGTTGGACAGACAAAAGTGAAGTCCAGAGGGTAGAAGAAGAACACAACATATTTTCCTAGAAGAGCAGTACAACCAGTTATTCTCTCTTACCTTTGTTCAGTATCAACCATTCAAACACTGAGAGGAGAAAGCACTTGATACAACACTACCTATAAAAATTATATGGCAAACTACAGATGCCTCTATTTTAAGACTTGTTATATAGGTGGCAAGCCCATAAAGCACCTAGGGGATTTACACTTCAGCCCAATACCATTTACAACACTCTTCAAGGCCACTCCACAGCTAATACCGCAGAACCCTACCCAACTGGAGTCTCCAAAACCAGACTGTCAAATTTGACAGGTAATGCCTGTGTCCCAGACTTACTCCCATAGGCCTGCCCAGAGTATACCCAGTATCTACACAAGACGACCCCATGGTTGGCTACTAACAGAGTACAAAAATGCCATGCATCTGAGATGCTACAAGCCAAAGAGACATTTTAATTGAGTCTATACTCACTGCCCTCACGCAGCCTGAGTGTATTTCTAAAGCCATCCATGTTAGTACTTTATTACTACAGGCTTTCCCTTCAATTTTAGTCTTTTTTTGGCACAGCAAACATTTTGCCAGTACTCTAGAGAAAGGAACTTCGTAACTTAAGAGGAAAGAATCGACTTTCCATTGACAGAAAGCATACAAGAGAAGATTTTGCTGTCCCACATAGTTCTGAGATGTTATACCAGTCTCATAGTATAACAGACAGGACAAATAAGCCTGACCCAAGATTACAGTTCAGAGGAGTTTTATGCTAATTAGCAGCCATTATCATAGGTGGGACATTCAGCCATGCTGCTGACAGCTTCCCAAGCATACTCCAGCCATCGCTGAGAACCACTGCACACTTTAGTCTACTGCCAAGTGGTCACTATCACTACAAAACCAAATCAAGAAGTACCCTTAGATGCCCTCCACTCCTGCATTTGACCAGACTGTATCAGTGTAATTAGAGCAGCACATAATTTTACCTTTATAGTCAGAGAGTTTGATGTCTTTGAATTGTCCATCTGGCATAACAGCCGTGGCAGTAAAGTCAGGGGCTGGTTTTCCAATGAAAGCCTTTCCTGAAGACATCTTGATTTAATCTAGATAGGAGATAACAACGATACAGTTTAAATAATAGTACATTTACACCTGGAAGTAAGCATTTATTCAATTATCTATTTAGATCAAACACCAAAGAAAGTTTATCAGCACTTGGTCTTGCAACACAAGGCTTAAGAGTGAAACTAGTTTTAATTTTGTCACCTGGGTAGTCCAGTCAAACCACTAACATTCTTTTCCTAAAGCAGCAGCACAGTAAGATGCAGTTCAATAACCGCTAGCTAGCTAGACCAAACCACTACGTAGATTCAATATTCAGTTAGCAAATGAAAAATCTGAAGTCAGCACTTCAAGTTCTGTTAGCTCATCAGCTTCCTAATGATACAGTAAAGGTTCTTTGACCAGTAACAGCTCAGTCTGGGAAAAGGGCTAGCCTAGATTTTTAGCAGTACTCAGCAAGTCTTCCCATTCCTCTTGGTGGATAAGTTAGAAAGTTTGTTTTTTTAGAACTTTTGATGAGAAGACCCTTGTTCAATTTTACAAGGGAATTTAAGACCTCAAACTTTATCTTCCTGTTGATTCCAGAAAAAAAAGAGCTTTTGTTAATCCCTGGAGAACAGCGTTCTGCATAACTACACTTCAGGCTTTCAAACAATTAACCCCTGTTTTATTTGCAACTGGAAAAACTCATTGTATACACGGAAACCACATTCTGTGTTAAGAACTAAAATTTCACCAAGTCTTCAATCAGTACAGCCAGGTAGCTTCCCCCCAAGTCTACTGAAAAGGACTAAAAAGACTATTACTAAAAAGTTTCTCTAACATACAGAGACAGTAATCATCTACCTCTCAGTTTTCCCTTTGAGAAGCACCCACCTGCTCAGCATTTCTAACTGCCTTTTGCAACAAAGCTCTTTATCCCCATGTTCACACAGGAGTTTAGCCTTCAACTGCAGCAGACTGGGAGCAAGTCCTATGAATGAAGGTGACTAGAGCTTCAGAGTAGTCATAGCACCGTACTGAAGCAGTCTAGCAGGAAAACATCAATAATCGCTCTGCCAAACGCTGCGTGCAGCCATGAATGCAGGTGCAATTCTGAAACTGCAGTTCTGTAAGCAGTATGGGGGACATGCATTGCACAGTATTTATTTGAGATGCCTCCAGCTAGTGAGTTTTATTTTGTAAGCAAAAGCAGCTTTATCTGGAGCGCACGACTCTGTATTTTGTCATGGCTACATTCTCAGAGTTACATTATTTTCCATTACTCAAGCTCAAGGTCATCCTTCTGCTCAGCAGTATGCCAGTCCTCCCATATTTGTTCCACTGGCAATCCCCAGAGTATTTTACTAAGTATTCAATGTCAAACAAAAGCTGTGAGACTGTTCTTTGACACTTCCCCTTTCTAAACTACAAGTTATAGCCTACTGTTTGGGTAGCATGAAAGTCTTAAATACTGGCAGGAGATTTCAGTTGCCTTGTACTGCAGGAGAACCATCTGCTTTCCTCAGAGCACCTACTGCTACCTGCCAACGTTTCTGCTTTACCATGCAGGGTCAAGCATGTGTCCTCACATGTTCTGCCGGGATTTTTAGCCACAGCATTTCCTAATGCACAGAGGAACAGACCACAGGCTCACGATTTTACTTCCTTTCATTCTAGAGGGAAGGCAAATGAATGGACACTGCAAGTCAAGTATGCTTGAATCAGGTGAGAACATCTTTCAGTTGCTCGTAACCACACACGGCCTTAATTATTTTCAAATTGCAATTATAACAAGTCAGGCCTGCACTCTTAACTCGTTCTTCATGCCTTTAGGATATCTTGCACAAAAATGAAAGGCCATTTCAAAACACCCCATCGGCCTTCCACTTTGCTACCTTCAGCCACAAAAACGCGGTTAAGCTACTGAGCTGCGGTCGGGAAAAAAAAAAAAGGCAATATTGCCACAGAGCTCCTCGCTTCAAGTTCACCGCAGCCAGGTACACACCGACCACGAAACTCGTTTTGCCGAAAAAGCTCAGAAGCGAGACCAAATCATGCACCTGCGCAACTCCACTACTCAGTGGCAGGGGACACCTGCCCTCTTGCATGTCCGTGTGTCGTGGCGTGTCCGCCCCCCCCGGAGCCGAACCTAGCATTTTGCTTTCCCCCAAAGCGGGAGGCCGACCCCCTCCCCAGTCGCCCACCACCGAGCCGAAGCCTCCAGCACAGCACGGCGCTATGGGGGGAGGCGGCGGGGTGAGGCCGCTCCGCTCCCGGCAGGCGCGCTGCGGCCTGGTTGAGCGCTCCCCGCTCGGCCGTTGCCCCGCGGCTCCTCCCCACGCAGCGCGGCGGCGAGAGCAGATA